TTTTATTTAAAAAAAAAAAAAAAAAATATATATATATATATATATATATATATATATATATATTTATATAAAATATAATGTGAGTGCACATTTTAATCGTTAAAAAGTTCATAAGCATTTTTTCAAACAAAGTATTTAAAAAAAAAATACATATCTTTGTATTTTAAAAAAAATAGTACTGATAAAAGATTATGCCAAAATATTTAATCAGGTTTGCTTTTCAAGAGGTTTTTTTTTTTAAATGCGTTTTCTTCATTATATCAGGACAGCTTTATCACCCTGATTGTGATTGATCTGGGAATTTTAATCCAGAAGTTAAAAACATGCTCATCTTAGGTGTATTCAAATGATTGTATGTATGAATTGCATTTTGAATGTGTTTTTGAATAAACAAACCGATCTAGAATGCTTTGACCCACCTAGTTTTGCTGGAATTATTGATGTGCCTGAAGCTTTGTGTTCTTATTGTCTTTTTTCTACCTTAGGGAGTTCAAGATTGTGCTGAGATGCCACAGAAACCAGACTCGCCCTGACAGTAGCAGACTAGACACACCTGAGCAGACAGGTGGCAGCCCCACCCTATACACAGCACCAGGCTGGACTCCAAATCATATATTAGGAGGATTTGAGTTAGCGTGCATGACAGATTGTCACGTTAAACACGAGCAGCACTAACGCAGACGCAACCTGGAGTGTCTTATATAACTTAGAAAGCTCTCCTGCATCAGTGAGTGCTCTTATGTGAAGTGCTCTGATTTTATTCTACCCCTGTCAGTGTCATGTCTGTCCATGTTGACTCACAGCAGTCATACAGTACAATATAAATCTCAGTGATGGCTCATCATAGATCTATTGAATAAAAAATTGTGCATTAAAGGAATAGTTCACCCAAAAATAAAATTTACAGAAAATTTGCTCTTAGCCCATCCAAGATGTAGATGAGTTTGTTTCTTCATTGGAGAAATTTAGCATTGTATCACTTGCTCATTAATGGATCCTCTGCAGTGAAACACTGCAAAACATCACAATAATCCACAAATAATTCACACAACTCCAGACCATCAGTTGAGATCTTAAGGGAAAAAGTGTGTGTTTGTAATAAACAGAACCATTATTAAGATGTTTTAATGTTAAACCATAGCTTCTGGCCAAAATACCTGTCCATAATCCATAATAACGCTTCCTCCAGTGAAAAGGTCCATCCTTTGTTGTCCTTTCACATCAAATTTCACTGACATATTTGTTTACAATAGGGATGGAACAATTACTGGTTTGACGATCAATCATGATAAAATTTCCCACGGTTACCATTTCATATTTTAATTATCATTAAAACCGTATTCGATTAACATGATTTGAACAACGGGGGATAAATGCTGCCCAGCATAAAGCTAAGTTTTAAGTAACAGTATCACGTGCGCACAGCACACAGAGTAGTTTTGTTTTGTGAGAAAACATGGCAGAAAAGCTGGGAGGTTTTAAAGGGGTCATAGGATGCGATTAAAATTTTTCCTTTCTGTTTGGAGTGTTACAAGCTCTTGGTGCACAAAGACTAAAGTCTCAAATCCAAAGAGATATTCTTTATAAAAGTTAAGAGTTAACCACGCCTACCTAAAACGGCTCGTTCTAACACGCCCCCACATGGCTACGATACGATGTGGGAAGATCTGCATAACGCCGCCCAAATGTTCACGCAAAGAAAGGCGGCGTAACTTTTATTCTCGCTGTAGTATTTTTGCCGCCGCCGCCATGTCGTGAAGGCACTGTGTGTTTCGTTGTGAAAGCGAAACTACTTTGTTTGGTCTTCCAAAAGAGGACACGACTAGAAATCAGTGGTTAAGTTGTATTTACAACACTGTTCCAGAACAGTTCAACCCAAATATTCAGATGTGTGCAGCACATTTTATATTATATTATTTATTTTATAATATAAATCACACTACTTATAGGTATTATATATGACAGGATTGAAATATAACAATTAATAACAAGTTGTTGTACGATACAGCTTAAGGTGGCTTCATAAATTATTAAAAAAATAATAAAAACGCAAAACACACCTGATGCGAATTCTTTGCTCTTCATTTTCCATAAGCAGAGTTAACAAATCGTGCTGTATTTTCTTGTAACTAAAAGAAGGTACACCGCCATATTGTGCCGACGAAAGTGACTTAACTCGTAAGTACGAGCTTCCCAGGAGGACTTGGGCTGCGTTCCACTCCACTTTTAGACACGCACTCGCAAACTTCCCTAAACTCTTCCCCTCGGGGGAATCCCCGCTGCCATTATGAAGTGCGTTCCACTTCGTGAAGTGAACGAGGGAAGTTTATATGGACAGACCCTCGACCCTTCTATTTTGACCGAGGGAGCGAGTCTGCGGCCCTGTCCCAAATGGCACCCTAAACCCTCACGGTCTTCCTCTGAGTCTGCACTTTCATGACGTAATGCCGCTTTGACTATTGGGTAGAAGTCTACTGCGGAGCTCGCACCAGTGCGGGCTCAGCCGAAGTGTGGATCGAGGGCGCATAAGGGGCGTTCACATGTCGCGCCTAAAAACGCGTGGAAAATGCTAGCTGCGCCGCTTTCTCCTTCTTTCCAAAGCGCTCAGCTTGTGTTGCGGCTGCCATTGCTAAGCAACAATGACCTGCACTTTCCATGAGGACGCGGAAGTTTCAGCAAAGGATAAATGGATTTCCTGCACTGAAAATCGTTTGCAGTAGCTCTGCAACTAAATTTAAATTAAATTTATTTAAAAATGGCCATCCCTGTACAGCTATGATCAGCTGTTCCTCCATCTTGGCTGAGCTTTCAATGTTGTTATAGAAAGGGTGAAGGTGATTGGTTGGTTCTTGTCACATGACCTGCGGTGCGCTTGCGGCATTCTGAAAAGTTGAGATGTTTTTACCTTGCTGCGGTGCGGACGCACCTGGAAAAAACGAGCGCGTCGCACCGCTCACGCGTCGACATTTGAAATAACGAACTTGAGAGCACAAAAGACGCCTGCTTGATATGCACACTTCAGGCCTGCTCCACAGACCACAATGCAACATGATTATGATGTCATCGCATATCGCGTTCAATTTATCCCCACCCCAAACAACTCTATAATATATCAATTATTTTTTTTAAGGGGTTGTATGATGTTGCTAAAAATAACATTATTTGGTGTAATGAAATGTGTTTATGCGGGTTAAGGTAAAAAAAACAAAAAACATAATTTTCCACATACTGTACATTATTGTTTCTCCTCTATGCCCCGCCTTTCTGAAGCACTTAGGACATTCCGATTGAGCCCATTCCAAGGGTTCCACCAGTAGTGGGCATGCAACGTAATCAATGATGTACATCCGAGTGAACGAGACAGAGGGAAGTTTGCGAGTGAAGGGCATAAAAAAAAAGGACTTGAACGCAGCATTAATCGAAGTGCTGGAAACCGCTCTAATTCAGCTGTTCCATTAGCGCCACCTAGTGGATTTACAGAGTTACATTTACATTCAGGCTGTGTGCAGTATTTGGACAAAAAAAGGGACCGAATTTGCATAACCTTCTGTAAATTTTGACTGGTTGATGAAAACAAGCTTATGTGGGTTCTACACATTTAAATAATTCGGATAAGGTATCTAGAATTACTTATGGAGCAGATCAAATCCATATAATCATTTATTAATCAATTATCATTTTGACTTAACCCTTTTCTTTATTTATAGGCTGAAATGTGAGGTTTACCATTTTATGAAACTTTTCAAAGCTTTAATTGAACATTTCGTACATGCTATTAGATAAACTGTTATCAGTCATGCTGTCATTTAAAATCCAGACATCATTGTGTCTGTACTTTTAGAACGTATCCAGCACATTTTAACGATACCGTAATAATACTGATAACCATGATAATTTAGGTCTCTATAATCGTGATAAAAAATTTTCATACCGTTACATCTCTAGTTTACAACTGTTTTCATTTGTAAACGGTACTTGATCTTTGCATATTTATCTCCTGATTCAAACAAAACAACTTTTTCACAAGAGAAAGCAATATTATGGATAGAGGACTCATATTTTAGATTTAATTGATGCACTGGAGGGGTGTGGATTATTGTGATGTTTTTATCAGCTGTTTGGACTCTCATTCTGACGGCACCCATTCACTGCAGAGGATCCATTGCTGAGCAAGTGATGTAATGCTACATTTCTCCAAATCTCTTCCAAAAAATAAACTCATCATCTGAGCCTGAATGCTTTTTCAGCAAATTTTCAGCTCTTCCTTTAAAATGACAAACATTCTCGCTCTTCTCACAGGAAGTGCCGTCGTCCTCACTCAGTCACATTCTGGTGGTTCGACCCGTTCCTGTCCTGCCTGACCGGTGGGGGTGTTGGTCAGACAGCGGGCAGTGCCATGCCCCAGGCGTAAGTACGTGTCTCCTGGCAGACTCGGGCGTGGTGGTCCGCCGGTTGGCGTCTGGCTGCAGGAGGTGATGAAGCTGAAGCAGCGTGTGGTGGTGCTGTGCGCTGTGCTCTTTCTCCTCGGCCTGGCCAAGGTCTTCCTGCTGGATGGAGGGGAGGGATCGGCCGCCAGCCGCCGTGACCTCCGGGACTTCCGCAAGATGGAGGCCAGCCTGGTCCTGGCCAAAGAAGCTCGCCTCACGCACACCTTGCAGTCGCCCTGGGAAGTGGCCGCCCAGTGGGTGGGTCCCCGGGAGGTGTTCCCAGACGAAACGCCCGAGCTAGCAGCCGTGCTGAACGCCCTGGCCACCGCTCGCGTAGAGAGGGCCGACGTGGGCTATAAAGGCACCCAGCTGAAAGCCCTGCTGGTGCTCGACGGAGGACAGAAAGTGGTATTCAAACCCAAGAGGTGAGGAGAGGGATGATTAAGATGGAGAATGAAAGAGAGAGAAAGTAATGAGAATGTGAATGAGGTTAAAATAAAAGGAGTGAGTGATTTAGAGAGAGGGAGAGTGAGGGGAATAGTGAGTGAGTGAATTAGAGAATGAAGAAGCCGGTGAGTGAAATAGAAAAAGAAATGAATGAATAAGAGATGTAATAACAATAATTTGAATTTATCCAGCGCCTTTCAGAGATCGCAATGCATCACAATGTGTAGTAAAGAGCAAGCTTAACAACAGTAGTAACAGAATAATAAAACAAAACTAAAATACAAACAGGACGCAATAGAAGTTGACACAAACTATTCATAACAAAAAAATGCCAGCCATGAACTAACAATGAACAAGTTCTGTAGTGTATACAACAAAAACATATATTTTTTTTACATTTCAAGTTGTTAATTAAAATGAATCAGTATGTTTATGAATTAACATTAACCTATATTAAGAAATGTAGATGATGTTTATTGCATTAGGTGTCATTAAATTATACTAATGTGAACAAATTGAACCTAATTGTAAAGTGTCACCAGAATATTTCTGGAATAAAATTGTGCACTTAGGACACAAATCTGATCTATCATTACTTCAGGTGAATTCAGCTGCACTTATCTGATTCTATTATTGATCTACAGGGACTGTAGATAAGTGAGGAAGCTCTCCTTGTGTCCTTAACCTCTAAGGTCATTGATCAAACACACCTTATCTCTGATCATTTCACTTCCAGACTGAACTTTTACAATCGATCTGCTCTGAACATTTTGGTTACAAACATCAGAATCGGGCATGTCACATTAAGTCGTGTACCATTCTAAATGGAATGTGGGATATCTTCCAAATAGGAGGTTAGAAAGTCAGACGTTTTGAGTGGAATGCAGTGTTAGTGTTTAATGCTTGAGGTTTGCACTTCACAAAAGCAAGGTTGAGAAATAAAGTATAATATAGCCTTTAAATAAGCTGTAGTGTCAGAAGTTTCAAAATGACATGAAATGTACAATGCACATTTACCTACGTAAACAGCGTTGCAATACTCTCAACCTCAATAACTTCAGTAAATTCTGGATAGAACATTTTTATTTCAGGTTTCCAAGCAGTGAATTCGGCTTGGCCACAGTATTCATGTTTTCTGTGGGTGTAATAGTCACTTTATTATGTGTGGTTTTATATATAGAATTTTATATGAGCTACCGAACAGTCTATGTTGAAAAATGGGTCTCGTATTAAAGGGGACATAATACACAGTTTCTGCCAATCTCATGTTAATCTTGAGTACATATAGAGTAGTACTGCATCCTTCATATCTCCGAAGAGTCTTTAGCTGTTAGTTTCAATAAATGTGAACCCCTGGGACATTCCCAGAAGCGATCAGTGGCATCTTTGCATGAACACATTCAAAACATAAAAGCTGCGCTTTCAGAATTACTGCTGTTTTATACATCAGTAAATTAATGCAGTGTAAAAGATCTGATTTCCAAATTTTGAATAAATTGGAAGCGATGTGACTTGCCAAAACTAGAAAGCTCGAACAAACGTCTCATATGACTGTTTGCCATCCTGTTCAGTCTGCAGTTAAGTGTTCGTAAACATGGTGTCAGACACTGGTGTAACAGCCTTTGAGATTTCTACATTCTGGCTGTCAACTTTGATTTTGATCATTAGCATTACTATTTGCATAGTCCCATTGTTTTGCTTTTCACTAAAGTTTTTTGTCAAGTAGCCATGTTTTCCATGGGCTACTGTGAACTCACTCTTATGTCGCTCCAAACCCATGCGCAGTTATTTTTTTGTGGGACACAGAGGGTTGTTCACTCAGCTCTTTTCCATACAACATAGGTTCTAAGCTCCAAAAATGAGAAAACAAACACCATTGGTTGGAGTATCATAAAAGTAGTCTCTGTGGATTGGTGCACTATATTCTAAGACCTCTGAAGCAATGCAATAGCTTTGTGAGAGGAACAGATTTGAAATTGAAGCCGTGTTGTGTTCCACAAAAAAAAAATGCATGCAGGTTTGATTGACTTCTGCATGCATGGACACAGCTGACATGTCTGCGGATTGTTTACAGTACTAAAAAACTTTACAGTTTTTTTTTTAATAAACTTTACAGTTTTACAACAGCAGTAAACCTAAATGCAGTTCTAAATGCTTCTGTTGGGGGATTCAAACGTTTTGATGCAGACCCCCAAATATATTACTTCACAAAATATAGGCAGCTATATAAACAAAACAAAATGTGTGCTTTTCTCTTGAATTTTCTATTCATTAAAGAATCCTAAAAAAAGAATAACAATTTTCAACTTTTATTTAAAAAAATAAATAAAAAAAATTGTTTATATATATATAAATGTTTATATATATGTTCTTTTCTATGAACTCTTGCAGACCACTGGTGGTCCCCGACCCAAGTTCAAAAACCCCTGCTCTAGTTGACTGTGCACAGTTAGTTCACTGAAAATTCCTACTCGTAATCTTGATCAGTGTATGATTCATTATGTCATCAAAACACTTGCACATGCAGCACAGTGTCCTTCACTGGTCCCGTTTGGTACACTCGCACCCGCTGTACTTAACTGAACACCCGACCGGTTATTCGACCCGTTTGACATAAAATAACTAAAATAAAATTGACTAAAATAACTACTGCACATTGTGCCTATTATCTTATACATGGTGTAATCACAGACATAGAGGCGACTTAAGTTTAATAATAATATTTACACTGCAAGACTTAATGCAGATCTATTTTGACATATTAGATTGTCCCGTCCGTTGCCATGGCTATCACTATGTCAGTCATCGGCGGGTGACTCTCAGAACGATATTTTAGCAGATTCACTCTGCATTTTAAATGCGGTTGTTTCTCATGAAACTGCAGTGTATGGTCCTCATAGTAGCATGAAAAATAAAACTTTTATTTGAATTATGAATGGATTATATACAGAAAGCAAGCAAAGAGCGCTCCCTTTATTATCAAGATGTCAGTCACTTCAGTTGCAGTGCAATTGGCTACAATGTTTAATGCAGTCTTCAGACTACAGTGCGTGAACACAAATAAGCACGAAACCGTTTGAAAGCAGCCTGCCTATCAATGTGTACCGAATTGAGTCAAAATAGTCTTGGCTCAGGTCTACAGTCCACACGTGCCTATTGATTCCCGACCCGCACCGCAAATGACAACGTAAATATTATTCCAGCCATTACATCAAATATTAGCGGTTTACCCAACAGGTACCCACAGTATCCACCCCCGTGCAGAGCTCTCATGTTGTGCTCAGAAAATCTGTCGATATTAATTGCCATTCATACCCGTGTTGATAACCAACTGTGTATTGATGTGTCATGAGCTTCTCAATCTCTTCCTGCAGGATCCTGGGTTTTAGAAGAGCGCCCCTGGTGGTGGGGAGGTTTATGAATCTGCGTACAGAGATTAAGCCAGTAGCTACAGATCAACTGCTGAGCACTTTCCTGATGCACGGTCAGTTTCACCCTGTCATTCTTCTATTATGCTTTCTGTCTGTTGAGATGATCCCTCCCTTTTCCTTTTCTAGGCCAAAACTGCCCACTTAGACAAGAGACCACCTGACCAACATCTAGTCGAGCTGATCGTGTTATTATTATTTTTTCCACACAGCAGAGCTGAACATAAATTGTGATCTTCCGAGGGTAAATAAAGAACTGGTTGTTTCGATAAGTCCAGCGCTTTCTTTACTTTTTTCTTTAAAAGATATGTATACATATACATACTATGGGGCAAACAGTTTGTAGTTTAGCTTAGCATTGCAGTCTAATCAGCCAATATTGTCTTCAATAGCCTGCTTACTATAAAAGATAAAGTGAGAGAATAGAAGCTCTACCAGAAAAAATACTGTACCAGACAGAGCAAGCTCACTATTCGCGATGATTGAAAAATTCAAAGAAAATTCTAAATATTGAATTGAGAGTAGAGGTTTACATGAATGCATCTCTGAGGGGAACTGACTGTTTTCAAAAAAATTCTGATGGCATTTTCTTTTCATTTTACCTGCGTTTAATGCATATTAAAGTAGTGTTTATTAAGCACAGTGCTGCTTTCTTTACAGCGGTATCCAAGGAAAGGCTATATTGCAGCTGTTCCATAAGCGCCATCTACTGGCAGAGAGTGAATTTGCATTTTTAACATAATTTCAATTTTCAGCTTAAGTCAGACCATTCTGTTTGCCTTAAATCTTGAAATTATACAATTTAATTTAAACTAGGAATGCACCGATATGAAAATTTTGGCCGATACCGATAACCGATTATTCTTTATTTTTGAAAGCCGATAAACCCCCCTGGTAGTGGCAGGTTTTCTCTATGCATGCAGTGTTCAACTTCTCACCATTTTTACCCCTTACCTGTTTGCATCTCTGATCATTTAATCAATAAGAAGTATCAGTATTTGTATGTATGTTTTAGACAATTATTATAGAACAGTGAAATTGCTCCAGAAGTTCTCTTGTCTTTCCTGCATTCAAGACAGTTGATGAGGGCCCTCCGTGACACAGTCTTCACTACTATTGGTTGTCTCTCCCGAAAGTCACTCTTCATTTCATATACTGTAAAAAAAAAAAAGATGGACGACACTCCTTTCCACTGTAGAAAAATGAAGTCAAAATGTCCCAAGTATAGCCGCTCTCAACTTTGCCAAAGGCATCCTTTGGAGCCCAAGTCTGCACAGTAGTGATCATGAGCTAGAGCCACGGTATCAAAGTCCCGCCCAAAAACCCACAGACCCAATCACAAGCTTACAATCGTGACATCAAAATACCTGAAAGCAAACTTACTAGAAAAACAAACAATTGAACATACATCGGCGTGATAAGAACTACCTAAAATGATGGAAACCATCTTTGGAAAAACAATATTTGAAGTGTAATATTTATTTATTTTATTTGGCTCATGTTCCATTCGTTTACATGGAGGGGGTGGGGTTGATTACATATACTGCCGCCAGCCACCAGGGGGCGATTAAAATGTTTTGGCTTCACTTTTCAGGACCTGTAAGGCACACTTGCCTTATTAGCATAAAGTTACTTCATGTCAATGATGTGAACGGGGCTTTAGGGAAGTAAAACCCAATGAATGAACTGTTTCCATCCCTCCTGTCCCACTTTGTGAAAAAATTACACTTAATGTGCTACATCTGTATTGTTGAACAGTATTGCATCAGTCAAGTAGTATTTTTGAGCTCAGATGGGCCTGTGCTGTTCTGCAGCATAAAAAGATTCATAACCATCTGTCGTCTCTTCAAAACAATCCTTTCATGAAGCACAGTTCCTTCCAGACATCGTTTTAATAATAGTTAAGTGATGATAATGTCTCTTTTCTTGTAGGAAATAATACATGTTTCTATGGGAAGTGTTATTACTGTCGTGAGACTGAGCCTGCGTGTGCAGAGGGGGATGTGATGGAGGGATCGGTTACCCTGTGGCTCCCTGACGTCTGGCCCTTACAGAAACACAGACACCCATGGGGACGGACATACCGAGAGGGCAAACTCGCCAGGTATTGTAATTCTCTCTCTCTCTCTCTCTCTCTCACTGGTTTTCTCACTTTGCTATTTTTTATGCTTTGACTAGAATGAGTGTACAGGTACACATTGCTATATTTGGCATCAGCGCAGTTTCAGACTGAGATTGTGGTTGGGCTGATCTGCGTGTGAGTAACTATTGGTCAACGGGGACTTTCACTTAGTCAAGGATGGGATGGTCCAGCATTCAGAATATAATTTCAGATCTTTCACACGCTTGGTGGCACAGAAACTGCTGATTATAATGTAAGCACAGTACAGAGCACTGAAATTCAATAAAGACTGTAGGTTTTCCCACCACCTAAGACGCATTTCCTGAAATGAGGCTTAATTTTCCCCCAAACCTATAAGCACAAAACCAAAACTAGCACCACTAGGAGATTTTTTTTTACATAACTTATTTCACTTGTGCATTACATTTATGTAAAATGTGAAGAAAAAAACAGCCAAGAGAAAAAGGTCCTCTCAGAAGGAAGTCTGTTTGGCTTGTACCTTAGTAATTGCTGAAATAGCCAAACACATTAATTGGAAGTAAACATTGTTAACCTGAATAACATACTTGTAGTTCTGGATTGATTGATTGATTATTTTTGCAAAAACCATGAGGTTACTACATTGTCCAGGTCTACAGAATGGTTACAGTCTCATTAATGTAATGATTAAAAAAAATCAAAAGAGTAATGTGAGTCGGTTTTTGGGGAAAACTGTTAATTCTGTCAAGGCAGTAGGAAATGTCTGAATTATCCCATTTTATTTTATTTTATTTATTTATTTTTTGGCACTGGAAGTTTGGATTGAGAAAGGAGTGAACCCCAAAGGTCTGTTCACACCAAGGACAGTAACTATAATTATATGATTGTAATAGTAGTTCCAATTCTAATAGAATAGTGAAGTCCACACTCCAGCTATAATGATAACTACACAGAGAAAGATGTGATGCTAATGTTACACACAGTGACATTAGCATCACTTTCAGAACATTTTTATTTTCTAGCTGATGAGCAGTATATTGACAGCCAGTCAGAATCCACCCAACTTTAAAGAGCTTGAGCTTTTAAAGTGGCAGAGGACAAAAAAAAAAGACAAAAAATGCATGCTAATATTGTTATCGTTCTTGGTGTGAACGGGCCTTAAAAGGACATTTACGCAAAAATGATCAAGTTGGTCCAAACCTGTATGAGTTTCTTCTGTTGAATACAAAAGAAGGTATTCTTTATTAAAGATATTCAATAAGTCAATGGCTTCCGGCAACTGGTTACCAAGGTTACCAACATTTTTCTGAAGAGTGTTGTCATGATACTGCAATTTCTATCTTCGATACAATACCTTAAAAAATAGGGAAAAACTGCCACAACTTTAAGGGCATAACATTTTTGATTTCTATTGGAAGATAAATGCAATAAGGCTAGACATAACAATGAGGTCTATTTTTACATTAATGAAAACTTCTTGAGGTGGAGAAAAACGTATGAATTTGCATGTGTTTACTGGCAGTTTATTTAGAGAGAAGCGTTTTTTCCTTCTATTTTTACCCGAAATAGTGAGCCCTCGTGCGGAAACTTCAAATATGCCTCACCAAAGTAATATAATTTATGACTTTGTAGGAAATCTATAATATGGACAAAGGCATCAAGCTATCACTGTATCGAAACTCCTTAACTGATTAAACATGAAGACAATAAACACAACTGCAACAATATATGGTTTATCTGTGTTGTTCTAGACATCTTAGGTAATTTCATAATAATATAGTCTATATTCATAAGAATAAAGTCTATTTATAATGCAATGCTAATCAACATGGAATGTATTAGAGTATAGAATGCTATAAAATAGGGATGTCAACGATTAATCGATGATCAATTAATTGTCGATAAGAGATGCAATCGATTAAAGCTATCGATGGTCGATTAAGCTATTTAATTTTGGGCTGCATGCGGCTCATGCGCAAAACACGTGTGAGTGACTGTGACAGTATATAAATGCATCATCATTCATCCATAATGTACAAATTAAGCTTTTAATGTGATTTAAACTTTAAAAGTACATTAAAATCGAAACAATACAAAGTTCTTCAACATGGAAAGCAATAGAAATGTTGTTTCTAATTTCCCCAGATAATTGTTTCATATCGTGCGCATTACAGAGCTGCGGAACACAGGACAGATAGGATATTCATTCCTACAACTTGTTAATTCGTTCCTACGACTTGTTAATTTGTGGCCACTGTCCATGTTTCATTCATTTTGTTCCTTAAATTACCCATGATTTAACTAAAATGAGGGAACAAATTAATAAATCGAACAAATTCTTAATTCATTGCCATGAAATCTTTAATTTCCCTAATTTGTGGATTATATCTTACTCCAAAAATTGAGTTTTTTTTATGCTTCAGCTGTTCGATCGCGCCGGCACCTCACGCGCACACACACCACATATTCTAGCTGTGCTAGCTAATTTGTGTTGTTTGTCTCAGTAACCAGTCTGTATCGTTGTTATCTCAACTTTTTTAACACACTCTCAACTACATGATCGCTCTCTCGTTCCCATCCCTTGTTCTCGCGATATCACTACACTACACTAGCAATTCATATTTACATCGCAGTCTGTTCATTAACAAAATAAAATAGTCAACCAAATGTACAGTGGGGAAAAAAGTATTTAGTCAGCCACCAATTGTGCAAGTTCTCCCACTTAAAAAGATGAGAGAGGCCTGTAATTTTCATCATAGGTATACCTCAACTATGAGAGACAAAATGAGAAAAAAAAACCAGAAAATCACATTGTAGGATTTTTAAAGAATTAATTGGTAAATTCCTCGGTAAAATAAGTATTTGGTCACCTACAAACAAGCAAGATTTCTGGCTCTCACAGACCTGTAACAACTTCTTTAAGAGGCTCCTCTGTCCTCCACACGTTACCTGTATTAATGGTATCTGTTTGAACTTGTTATCAGTATAAAAGACACCTGTCCAAAACCTCAAACAGTCACACTCCAAAAATGAGACGTGAGCAATAACCTCCAAATACATCTAGCCAAACCCGCGCTCGCTCGTCCTCGTATGCACGCAAGCATGCACTGTCATGATCTAATGCACTGTAAATGCCGGATTTTTAAAAACAAATAGGCCTACCCGCAACGCAACAATTCAAAATCTGACATTTTCCTGAACAGGATGCAGCAGGATCAAATTAAGTACTGGTCATAATACTTGCATAATAATGTTTGATGTGAGCAACAGTGTGTTTTGCTGCAGCAGCGCCGATGGAAGCGGTTCACTGACTGCGCAGCACAGCCACACGCGCCACAGTTACGTTTGGGATCATTTTATTTTAAATGTCATAATGTCAGTTGAAAACATTGCAATTGTTTTTTAAAATACAACAACGAGCACCACGAAACCATTTAAAGAGGCGCGTTCAGCAGTCTCCGTGTCGGGATAGGAAACCGTCAACAAAGTAAAATGATCTCAAACGTACATTTTATCAAATAATCATAATCACATCTATTAATTTTACAATCCTGCCACTAGCATTTTATTCAGACTAAAACTCCTTTAATTTTGGTGAGAAAGCGGGGGGGGTTTTTGTGTGTGAGTGGCTTTTGCACATCCTGTCATGCCGGTGACTGCGTGCTGCTGCAGTAGACGCATTTTGCAGCATTAAGGTTAACGATTAATTGATCGTTAATTTAAACAATGATCGAAAATTGACATCCAGCTACTATAAAATATTTTTGGCTTCATTCTATGATAAGCCAAATCAGATCACAAAAGAAAGTTATTTCAAACACTCGACTGATATTATGAAGTGAGTTTGGAGTAAAAAAAATGTTATTAAATGTGTATTTAGCTGGACAATAGGTTTATAAATGCTTCTCATTACACTGCGGTGTGCATAAACTCGCTGTCAGAAGAGGTAGAGAGAAAACACAGCTGTGTTATCAATAATGTGAAAAATAGAGTATTGAAACAGTTTTAGATGTTTGGTGCTTGGCAAGTGTTCATTTTTGACCCTGATTGAAGAGCTCTTAGAGTATATTGAGGGCATTCCTCTGTTTAGTGCCACTACATGCTGCAGATGTGTAAAAAATGCATGAAACCTTTTTACAGGTCATTAACCTTATCGTCTCCATCTCTGTCACTTTACTGGAAACCTTTGGTTTTTGCAGCCACTTAATGAAACATGAGTCTAGTTTGGCTATTACTAATCAGCACATATTGTGACTACTATTTAAAATGTAATAACACATTAATTATTTTGGTCTGAAGTTCTCAGAAATTCTTTCAGTTCTGCAAATACAGGTATTGAATGCATTAGTTATCCGTTTGCACAAAATATGTCCTTATAGAGTGCTGCGGGAATGAGTCCTAAACCTGGAAATTTGAGTTGGCATTTATGGTTCCATTGTCACAAAGTCACAGGGTTTTTGAATTGATTTTTGGTTAAATGCCTTAAATAAGGTCTGTGGTTAACACGAGCTCAAGATCATTTATGTTTTATTCTGTGACATAAAGTACATCAGGAATACCCCACTTGTGATTTATTTTTATTTTTGGGGGGCTTTTATGTGTTTTTAAAAAAGGTGATTGCCAATAAGTGGCAATTTATCTTTAAACATGTCTACCCACTAGGGCTGCACGATATATCGAAATTATCGAAATATCGTAAATGTAAATCGCAAGGGCCTGCGATATGTGAATCATTTTAATAATAGGCTACTTAAATCAAAACGTTGCAAAAGGTCAAAGTTTTAGTTCGACAGAACAGACACATACACACAGAATTGTCAATAGTACCCGTCTCGACGATCATGCTCGTAAACTCAGTCGGTTATGTTTTAAATGAATGTAAACAGCTGAGAAAGATATCGGATGTGTATCATTATACTGGATCCGTGCAGTCGGATTTAAAGAGACAGCAGCTTATAAATACCTGCTGCTGAATGTCTCTAATGTTAATCAAACAACAAAAC